TGTCAGCAAGATTTCCTCTTCACGTTAATGACATTATAGATGCAATAAATGAAAAAAAAAGAGTGAAATTAAGGAGGACAACATAAAGCTTGATGTAAAACCCTCATAGATAATGCTGATTTCCATGTCATCTATAGCTGTGTTTCAATGACATGTCAGAGCAGCAAGACAGAGTGCACTAAATGTGAAGCATGAAGTAGTCACCCTGTGTTTCAGCTCAGCAGGGCAGCGGGATTTTGCTCTTACAACAAAAAAAGGGGGGTTGGTGAGATTAGTGCATGCCTTTTCATACACCAGATGTCTGCACTGCCAGTGTGATGCCTTGCTTTTCTTTATTATAGTGATTTGCCTGTTAACATGTTCCACAACTCTCTTCCCACCCTTTCCCAAGCCCTACCGGATTTTCAATACCTGGCTTGGAGATCCATCCAAGAACCTTATGCTTGCTGAAGTCATCAAGGTTATTAAAACAGAAGACCTTCTAAACAATGCAACCCACGCTGGGAAAGCACTACTGACTGGGCTGCTGGATTTGCAGGTAAACATCTGGAAGGATTGTAAAGAAGAAAAATAAATTTGCTGATGGGGCAGATCTGATCTCATCCAGTTTAAACATTTGGACTGAGGACTAAACCATAATCACAACTCGCTGGTTTAGGTACGTCAATGCAAGTTGAATAACTGTGTGCCTTTTGGATTGAAGTAAACTTTCTTTTACTGACTTAAGAATGTTGGGTTTATACAGCTTAATCCAAAATAGAAAGTGACCCCCAAAATATCTGAGTGTATGAACTGCAGTTAGTTAAATTACTTTGTTAGAAGGTTTTGTTACCACAAGCACCTGTATTTCATCATCCCAAAGTTCTTTTTAAAGGAGGGTGGTTTCATAGTTTGTTCCAATTCTTCTGGGCTGTTTAAACAAGAATATTGCAGCTTTCCCTCCCTTGACTAAGGGAAATTCCTCCCAGCTTCTACTATGGAGCCCCATATGAGATGGAAAGTCAAACAGGGATATAAGGGTAGGCTTGGAGGTGCTCTCCTCACCAAAGGCATGTACAGCACAATCCCAAACACAGTCTCTGTTGTGTGAGCAATCCAGCCCCTGCCCTCGCTCCACTGCAACAGAACCAGGAGGCAGCAGGGTTTCCACCTGGCAGAGCTGAGCTTGCCACCAGGTGCCCTCTGTTCCAGCACCTGCCACGGGCACGTCTCGCCTCTCTTTGCAGGCTCGTTACCCCCATCTCATCAGCAGAGTGAGAGGAAGAGGAACATTCTGTTCGTTTGACACTCCAAATGATGCCACTAGGAACAAGTTAATTACAATAGCCAGAAACAAAGGTAAGGAAGTCTGTGTGTGTGGATGAGCTTCATCTGACAAACAGTAGCATAGGTAATGCTCCTGAATTTTCCTTATTCGGGTGGTGTGTGTGTACCACAGCATCAGAGGAGAGAAGGGAAATGACAAACAAAACCGTATTTAGAGTTTTCTGGAAATACTTGTGTTTTCAGAGACTTCAGACCAGTACATTGCATGGTGTGTATATTTACCAGGCTCTGTAGGTCTGGTGTTACTGGAAGAGATCTATGTAGGGCAGGAGTTTTTGTGACATCAGTCTCTTAGTCCTCTGCAGTGACCTCAGGTGTCCCTGGGCATGGCTTCCAGCTGCAGACAGGCCCTAGAAGGGATCCTCAGGATCCACACCTAACATTCTCTATCCACACCTAACATTCTCTGAATTTGACTATATGTGGGCCCTGGATTTGCTGCTGTCCATTTTTGCTGTTACTCCTATCTCTTGAAATGCATGATGCATCTAAACTGTGGTGAAACCAACATTTCAGAGCGAAAAATACACCATTTTTTGTTCTTTGAAACTAAGGCAGCAGGGAGAGAAGGCAAGCAGTTTGCTTCATGGTAAACCAAGGCTCTGCTTCGAGGCAGGGTAAGCCCAGCTCAGTGGCTGAGTTCTCATTGTGCACAGCCATTTCAAATAGCTGATTTGGGGTTAAAAAAATTGCCATGTATTTAAAGTACTGAAGGAAGAGGTTTGCTGGCATGAGGTATTTTAATTTTTTTGTAATTAAAAATGAAGTAGTTTAAAAACAAAATTGCAGGGAAACCTCCTGTGTCTTGTTGTGGCACCAAGATACTTAACCAGTGGAGTTGAGCTGTGCACTGGGTGGAGTCTTTCCACTGCTGTTGGAATTAGTCCCCATACTCCCAAGTGTTTTATACAATATCTACAGGCACACACAGCGTTCTTCTAAGTTTCTGTGAGTTTTGATGTCCTTCACACCACTGGCCACGTGCTGTATCATGGTGTGGTTAGCAGGGATTTGGGGAGCTTCTGTTGGCCCCCCACAGTGAGGTGAACCTCAGTCAAGAGACCTGCATTTTTGTGGATACTTGGCAAAGGTGGAAATGACTAGAGGACTTACTCTGTTCCTGTTTCAGGTGTTGTTCTGGGAGGCTGTGGAGACAGATCCATTCGTTTCCGTCCCACGCTGATCTTCAAGGATCACCACGCGCACCTCTTCCTGAACATTTTCAGTGACATCTTAGCAAACTTCAAGTAAAAAGCAGTTCCCTCACACTGAACAGCTGATTATGAAATTAGTTTGCATTAATTCATGTCTCCTCTACTTACAAGATAAGTGTAAAGTCATAAACTGAGGTTTGTGTTCTGTGTGTGATCCTGCCCAAGGCAAGCTGCTCCATGCACACGCGCCCCAGGCAGAGCGTTGGCACTGGTCACCAGCAGGTACATGCAGCTGCCCCTCACTGTGCATCCCCTACAACCTGTGGGCCTCCCTCTTCTGGCCTGGGCCATGCCAACTGCAGACTCCTCTCTCCAGCCATGGCCCTGACTATCCATTCTCTGAACAGGACCTGTTTTCACAGGTGAACCCCGATAGATTTCCGTCCAGTAACAGCAACAAGGGTGGCCCCACTTAGGAGCCGCGTGCCTGCCACGTGGGAAGTGCCATTCTCTGGTGGCAGCTGGAATAAAATCGGCGTTTCAAGGAAAGCTCTGCTTTCCAACCACTGCCAAGCACAGTGTTTTACAGAATGATTTCCAGCTTTTTTCCCTCGAGTACAGACATCTGCCCCACGAGGTGGGTCAGGGCACTCCCTGTGCCCAGCCTGCACATGCTGCTTCAGAGGCACCGGTGCCCTCAGCCACACCTGCAGCGCTGCAAGTGGCACTGAAGCACTTGTCCTGTTCTCCTCATCATGGGTGAGTTTTAAAACTTGTGACTTCTCTTACAAGCAGACTTGCACAGAGAAGGCTCTACCCTGAAGTATGTAATTTGACAAAGCTTAGAGAACCATGCAAAGCACATTACTTCCACTTCTGCCAGCAATTCAGAATGATTCCAGATTATTTTACCATTTGCCCAGAACACACAATAGCCATTAATTTATCTATTACAAGTTCTACATGAATACTTGAGGTATTTTATAAAATTACAGCAGAAATGCTTAATCTTAGCCATTATCTGGTATCAGAGCCACTACAGTGAAGGCCTAGTCCTAACTGCACATTTATAATGCAAAGTAATTCTATTTTTGTTCTAATAGTATATTCTAAATCATTGATACTTCAGAGATCTTCTAGAAAGCCACAGGATCAAAAAAAAAAATGTCAACAGTTCATTAATTTGTTTCTCTTCAGAGAATTGTTTTGGATGTCTCTTTACTGTTTGCTTAGGGCTGACTTGAACTAGATCTGGTGCCTTTCTTTTCTTTTTCTTGGAGGAAGCATCTGGATTTTGTTTACTAAGTTTAACTTTCTGTTGTGCACCAAAAAACAGGGACCACAATGGACTTTACAGTTGCCCTATTTAGGACCTGACCACAATTTTTAAGTACATAATAAGAGACAGAGCAGTTAAAAGATTTACGTTTAATACAGCTACCAAAATGTGAAAGGTTTCTTACCTGCTTTGAGAAGTGTTAATCATGGTTTTCCCATTGTAGAGCAGTGGTGTTGGGAAACCCAAGTACACTCACTTCTGCCAGCTGAAACCCAGTGGGATTTCTGTAAACCTCTGCAGAAACCAGAATTCTGGTACCACTGGGCAAAACCTGAGCAGGTTTTTGAACAGAGGTTGTAGAAATCTGGGGTAAGGACCAGTAAATTGGTGTTCAACAAAACCTCATTGTCATTGCTGTCCTTGTAAGCGTATTATCAGCAAAAGGAAAGTCAAACCAAGAACTGTATTTGACAGCATTTGGGAATTAGTTTGTTCAACATATCAGTGCAGTAGTTTTAGTGAATGTCTCTAGCAAGTCTTGTACTTTTACAGAAGCAAAGGTCCAGTAATTTGAAGTCTTACCACATCTTCACTTTTATTATGACTACTCTAGGTGTTTTTATAATTTTTACTGACACTCAGTAACTGTATAATTGTGTACAACGTTGATGAAATCGTTAGAGAATACATAGAAAGCACTGCAGCTGAAGCATATAAAGTTAATATTGTTTACAGCATACTGTGGACAGTGCCAAATAAATGTTTAAACAAATACTTAACTACACTTCATGGTGTAACTAGTAACTGTACACAGATTCATAACAAATGACATCTCATGTGTAATCAATATTCTTAAATAAAATATTTATAATTGAACTTCTGCAGGGCTTTTAATTTTACACCTAGTACATGCCTGAACTGAACCACTAGCGCATATTAAATATATTCTGATGAAGATAAGCCTCCAAAAACCAGTGTATGTGTACAGCCCACTGTATGTATTTTGCTGCCATGGTGTTTACACCAAGAACATTTCTCTTTTCCTTTTGATATTGCTTTGCCACACAGTATCAGCCAAAATTTAAAATCACAGAACCCCATGAGGAAAAGTTCAACATGAATAAATGGTAATTCAGGGTTAGCCTGTGCACTTAAACAGCAATTTTACTTACCTGGATCTGCTGATCCACCAAGAGACAGAAGTTTCAATTTACAGGAGGAAGAGACAGAGAAAAGAACACTCCAGATTATTGGTGAGGGTCAGTTTATTTGCCACTTTCAAATGAAGTAACAGCTAGAAGAGTGGTGTAAGGGGTTAACTTGCTTCTGACAATTCAAAAGATGTGTTACGTGTTACAGGTGATAGGTTTGGTTCTTTCTCAGGTTTAAATTCCTCCCTTCTACTGAGCTTTTGGAAAAGGAGGAGTCATACTAACACCATGGAGTAAGACCATTGTCCTTCATGGATACACGTGCTGCTTTTACCATTCCAGTGGGAAGAAATGTTTTACTGTGAGGGTGGTGAGACACTGGAACAGGGAGGTTGTAGATGCCCCAACCTTGGCAGTGTCCAAGGCCAGGTTGGATAAAGCCTTGAGGAATGTGGTCTAGTGAGAGGTGTCCCTGACCATGGCAAGGGGCATTAGGGTGAGATGATCCTTAAGGTCCATTCCAACCCCTTAATATTCTATGATTAAATGGGGCAGCAATTTCTGTAGAGGCTCCTGAAATGCTGCCCCAGCCTGTAACTTACCCTTACAGCTGAGCTGCCAGTGCCTCTTGCAGCACACACCCTTCTTTTGTCCAGTTACATTCACATCCTGGAGGATCTTGCCAGGAGACCACATCCACCCTCCACAGCATTACACCCATCCTTCCCAGCTGCATCAGCACATAACTCACATTTCACTAACACATAAGCATGTCTGTGTCTGACATTCACCATCACTCATCATGTGTACATACAAGACCAGTTTCAATTTCCAGAGGCTTCCCAACCAACCTGGAATTGGCTAAAAGAAGCACTGATTTGGAGTGAGGGTGCTCTGGCATCTCCTGTATTTCACTTTGAGAGTCTTTCCTGTTTCACAACAAGTGAAGGGGCCAGCTGAGACAGTTGGGGTCAGCACCACTAATGCAGCCCCCTAATGCATGTTCCAAGGAGGACAGTTCAGCCTTGGAAGTGCTGTGACAGCACAACACAGACATCACTGAATCCAACGTGAAACAGACACTCCTCACACCATAAACAAGCTGCAAAGACATTTAATCCAGTGGATTATTCTTTACCACTGTGACTTTCGATCCTGGGTTTGCATAGGAAAAGGACAGGGGTGTCAGTTGGGTAAGCTAATTGAACCTCATGGAACAATAAGCACAACGAACATGCAATATGGAAAATCACTGGAAACGAGCAGCTGTATCACACAAGTTCACCAAATATTTGAGTAAACTTCTCTCTGTCTACAATCTGTCCATACTTAACTGTAAAATATAAAGTATCTGTGCTGTTATACCGTTTGAACTGGAGAAGCAGCTCTCCTTTGCTGTCTCCAACTTCATCCAAAGTCACCACTGTCTCTATGGGACAGTAAATGTCATTCCGTCTTCCCCAGAATGTCAAGTGGGCCACTCTGACAGTTTGACCACTTTCACTCAAGTAGATGAATCCAATAATTCTTCTGAAAAAGTAGCTCATACTATACAACATTGCACCAGCAAAGACTGCAAGGCCAGTTGTGTATAAGAGGATATTCTGAGACACCTCGTTCTGCAGGTAGAGGTACCAGATGGGAGGCAGCGTGACCATGGTGGTGGCAGTCTGCAACAGCTTCAGTCTGGACAGGACCCTGCAGTACTTTATCCCTGGAAACCTGTAGACCAGTTTGAACTCTTCTGTCCTCCCATCCACAGCCTTCTGCTGGACCATAGCAGCAGTGGTCGAATGGGACAGACACACAGACTCTCGCTGTCTCCTGAGATAACTGTTAACACCACTGACTTGCTGGTTTTTTGGCTGCAAACACTCCCACGTGCCAAAAGTCCAGGGCGGGCGAGCATCTCCCCTTCTCCACGACCTTGTCCAGAGCGCCTTCTGCAGACATCTCCCAAAAGCTGGTGCCATGCAGACTTTAGTCCTGGCTGTGCAGAGCCAAGCCTGTAAGGAAAGGTTCCCACAGGTCATCATTTGAGCCCTCGTTAGAACTAAATCACAGTCGGTCCCTCAGTCACCCACGGACAGCAAAGCTCAAGCCCCTGCTCAGAGTAACCTCAAACCAGTGTTCAGTCAGGAAACGGGTGTTCGTGCTCTCATCCCTCCGTGCAAAGCAAGAGGGAAAACACTTTGGATAACACAGTTAACTGAGACAACCAGTCAGCTCAGTGAACGGCCCCATGGCGTCCCCTGCCTCTCTCGCTGTTTGGGTTTGATGTTCGAGCCCCATCAAGGCACTACGGGCCGCTTCAAAGCAAAGAGGGCAGGAGAACGCGGGCTGCCGGGCGGCCACATCGGCGATTTGCTAAATAACCACTTAAATCGCAATTTTAGGGAAACAGGAGAGGAAAAAAAAGCGGACTAGGCACGGGAGAGGGGAGAGCGCTCTACACCGAGAGAGGGCCCGGAGAAAGAGGGACCAGACACTGGGGACGTGCAGGATAAAAGGAAGGAAGGGAACCTGGCGCTGCCCCTGCCGCGGTGTAACACACACGCGAGCGCCAGCGCAGGGACGCGCCGGGAGGGGAAAGGGAAGGAAAGGGAGAGGGAAAACGGAAGGGAAAGGGGACGGGAAGGAAAGGGAAAAGGGAAGGGGAAGGAAAGGGAAAAGGGAAGGGGAAGGAAAGGGAAAAGGGAAGAGGAACCGGCCCGGCCCTGGCAGCCCCCCATCCCACTCCACCCCGTCCCGTCCCTCACCGCCGCCATGTTCCCGCCGCCCGGCGCGGCCGCTCCGCCCCCTCAGGGCGCGCGGGGCCCGCCGGGAGCGAGGGGCGGCCCCGCCGGCCCGGCCCCGCCATGGCCCCGCCGCCCGCAGCGCTCTGTCTGTTCGACGTGGACGGGACCCTCACGGCCCCGCGCCAGGCGAGTGCGGGACGGGGCTCCGGGCTGTCACCGAGGGGCTGCGGGCGCTGGGGGGGGAGCGGGGGGTGTCCCCACAGCGTGCGAGCCCTCGGGCAGCGGGGCATCACGCACCGCGGGCTGGGTGGGCGAACTTGCCGCGCCCCTTAAGGGGAAAACAGAAGAACCCTCCCTGTTTTTTAAAGCCAGTGCCGCTGTTTTGAGGCGGCTGTTGCGGAGTAGCGCTGCGGGGCTCATGCCGCGGGCAGGGGAGGCTGACGGGTGTGTTTGGGCGCAGAGGATCTCCCCGGAGATGGCGGCGTTCCTGCAGCGGCTGCGGCAGAAGGTGAAGGTTGGGGTGGTGGGAGGCTCCGACTTCGCCAAGATCCGCGAGCAGCTGGGCGAGGACGGTAAGGACCGCGCTGATGCAATCCCGAGCTACCCACAAGGAAGTCAGGAAGGTTAAATGTGGGTTGAACCCTGTTCCTTCCCCTCCTCCCTTGCTTCGAACTGTTCCTGGTGATGTCGCGTTGCGCTCAGTCTGTGAAGAGCTGTTTGCTGGCACTTAGAAACTGCAGCGTGTTTGCATTTCACAGGTATCTCGGTATCATATTAAGGGATTGTTACTAATTGTGAACTCCTGGCAGAACCTTGGGAGGGCTTTTTCCCGCTGCTGCTTTACAGTGGAATTGTGTGTGTGACACACACGTGTGGCTGCTCAGCTGTGAGCGCATCCCCGGAGGGTCTGACTTTGTTCACTGCACCACAACCCGCATAACAAACCCCTTTTGTAATGAGGTGCAGCGGTGGACTCTCACCCTAGTCCTACAAGAGGCACTTCCTTTTCTGTGTCTTTAATGGTCTTTACCTAATTGATGCCCCTGACAGCCTTCTGTCATGCTCAGATAACTCAAAACTTGTTTGGTTTCCAAGTGGTCTCCACTAAGCCGTATCATTTTGGGTTGTATTAAGAGTCTCACAACTGCCAGACATCTACTGAAGATTAGTAACACTGAGGAAACAAATGTAAAAGAGCAGTATTTGACTTGCTCTCCACCAGGCTGTGTGCCAGGTTTTTGCAATATTTGAGGTGTTCAGTCACTTCCTTACACTTAACGCAAAGACACATATTTTCAGGAGAGGAAGAGCCTTTGAGCAAAAACACGGGTAACTCAACTGAATGACTTCTTGTGATTTGAGGTGTGCGTTAATCTTGCTGAGAAATGGGAGTGGCTTTGATCCTGTGCTTAATGTTATGCTGCTGAATCTTTCATGCTTTAGGATCTAATGTTTGCTGTATTTTAATCTGTTTAACGTGTAAGACAAACTGCATTAAACATACATGGGGAAAAAGGATGTGTCCCTGTCTTTCTGTTTGCTTGCAGTGGTTGAAAAATTTGACTACGTGTTTCCAGAAAACGGTCTTGTAGCATACAAGGATGGGAAATTCCTGAGCAAGCAGGTAAGTCTGAAATTTCCAGTAGTGGGAAAGAAAAATTTTCTAAGATTTTCTAAAGACTTCACTTTGTTGCTACAGTGCAGTCCTCTGTAATCACCCTTCTAACAAAGGCCAAAACTGCTGCTGTTTTCATGTGTTACCCCTGTTAATGGATCATTCATTTGGCCTGTAATATCAACATAAGTAATGGAGAGTAAACATTTAAAAAGAGATCCTGGCTGAAATTGCTGCCTTGAGCAGTGTTCCAGTTTTCTGCAGGAACAAGCTCCATTTCTTCACGCTTGGCTACAGCAGATATTAACTGCAGTTTTTGTTTAGGGCTGCTGCCTCTGGCCCACAGTTTCCTTCTAAACTAGGTGCAAGTAGGAAGCATATTAAAGGACAGTTTGGTGTTATGGTTAAAAAATGAAAAAGTAAACAAAAATAAAAATGAGAGCCTTCGGTTAATACCATGTGTGCATCAACTGAGAGTTACTGATTGAAGGCATGTTTGTTCCTCTGTGGTATTAACCATGCCCTGATTATCCAATGTCTGTGTTTTCCGTGTGACTTGCTTTTAGAATCTCAAATTCTGGACCCTTGGTTGAATGGTGTTTATTTTGTTAGAGCATTCAGGGTCACCTGGGCGAGGACATTCTTCAGGATGTAATCAACTACTGCCTGAGTTACATTGCAAAGATTAAACTGCCAAAGAAGAGGTATGTGCACACACATCTCACGTAGCCATGTTCTCCTTGTTACAGTGTTGGACATCAGGATGTAAAGCTCAGCTCAGGCTGCTGAGCAGAAAAAAATGAGTAATTTGTGGTTTTGGAACACTGTGTATGTGAAACAGCTCAATCCATGCATACAAAGACAAGCTCCCAGCTGGAGCACAGGATTTGAAATATTGATTCAGCATTTTTATTTAAGAGGGAAGGAGACTCAGTGTTGAAGTAGGAGTGTTTCCTTGATGTGTTTGGAATTCAGCAGCATAATGTTTTCCAGAGAGGAGAGGTGTGCAGCAAGACCAGCTCCGTGTGATACATGAGGTGCAGCACTAAAATGCACCATGTGAGGCAGGGCAGGACCTGCCCAGATTGATGTGAATTTTGCAGCTTTACCCCAAAACTGACAGCTTGGCCTGTCAGGCTCTGAGGATTGGGTTGATGGGATGCCCCAATTACACTTTTAAAACCAAGCTGTACTTTTAACAGTCAGAAAGGATGACGTTGAGATTGCCAGGTTGAAATAAAAGTCCAAAATACTCCTTGGTGCCAGAGGTATTGGTTCCAATGCATACAGTGAGAGGCTGAAGGATGCAGCTGATTCTCATAGTGTTTTGATCGACTTTTTTCATCTACTTTCTGTCTTGTTAATCAATCCTTTTCCAGAGGCACTTTCATTGAGTTCCGGAATGGGATGTTAAATGTGTCCCCCATTGGAAGGAGCTGCAGCCAGGAAGAACGACTTGAGTTCTATGAACTCGATAAAGTGAGTTACAGCTCTTGAAAAATACCCAGCTCTCCTGGAGGAGGCAGTTACAGCCAGGTTATGATTTTTAAAAAACTTCTCTACTTTCTGCAGTTTTTTTTATTGTAATCCATGTAGTTTAATGAACTTCTTCATTCAGACCTCAGCAAATAGGCAATAGTTTTTTTGTTGCAATGATTAACAATGATTAGTTGCAGAAGGGGTGGGTTTGGCTTATGTTTCTTTTAATCCAGAACACCCAACCTCTACACACAGGATAAAAATGCTGTCCTAGATAAAACCATTCCTTGGTGAGCTCTTCAGTGTACCAGTCTGTATCCATTCAACTCAATAAAACTATTCCTTTTCTTGTCCTCTGCAAAGCCTTTTAAGGCAGAATTTTAACAGCTGAGGTCAAACTGTTCACCATTTATCCTCCTTTGTACACAGCTAAATGTGCAAGGCTGAAATGAATCTGAGCCCCAAGAGTTCTGTTTCCTGCTACACCACAACAACTGTTTCTGACTCAATAAAAAACCTGAAACTTAATTCCTCAAAAGCAGACTTTATCTGTGACTCAGTTAATGGATGCTGAAGGATATCTAAGATATCTAAGCATTCTGAAAAAACCCTTCTTGGAGTATACAGCCTCAGAAGAGCAGTATCAGTTTTTTAGACTCTTCCTATGCTTCAGTCTTCCCATTTGTAAAACTGAATTTTTCTGGGAGTTGAAGCACACTTTTGTAGCGTTCTAAGATTTTCAGGTGGAAAAGCAAATATCACAGCATATATGTGAAGTTTTGCTCTTTTATTCTTTTAACAAGTTGGTAACAGATTAAAGTGGGAAGATTCTCAGCGTGTTGCTAGTAATAATAAAATGTGGCTATATCACAGTCCTGGTACTCAGACCTCTGGATATTTTTGAGATGTTTTTTGGGGGTTATCTTTTAATTGATGAATTAACACAGCATGTAACTGATATGTGGTTTTGTTTTGTTTTTTCTTAACAGAAGGAGCATATAAGAGAGAAATTTGTGGCTGATTTACGAAGAGAATTTGCAGGCAAAGGCCTCACGTTTTCTATAGGTAATGCATTAAAAGAATGTAATTTAAAACATCAATTAATTTAAATTTAATTTAAGTCATATTGTCTCGTGGCTGTGACATATCCCATCTCATTTGTGTGACAGTTCTCACTGGGGGTGGTTGCAGCCAAGACTGAGCCTCTTTTTCCTCTTAGGCTTTCATTTGGACATTTTAATTGAGATCCATCAACAAAGAGAACTTCATTGCTTGTCATCAGTTCATTGTCCTTTAATGTCAGTTGTATGACTGATTCTGCTCATTTTGAAACATATTATGTGCTTCTATTTAGTCAAGAGTTGTTTCTGTGAATCAGTTTTAATCAGAACTATTCCATCAGTGCTGTTCAGTTGCCCTTGGTTCTTCAGCTCTAACTGCATTGTGTGGGAGGAAGGAAAGAATCCAAAAGCAAGTGCAAGCTTAAAGAGAAAAATTATAATAGAGAGGGAATTAATATTCCATGCATTTCTTCTTTTTTCCCTTCTCCCCTAATATATTACCACATTCCTGCCCTTTGCTATTTTTCAGAAAGTATGGTTGCCATTAGTGCTGTGGTATTGAAGCACTAAGGCAGAAATGAACTGAAATGCAGCTCTCTTGAAGCATGTTGTAAAAACCTTTAAGGCACCTGCTTCAACTGGGGATCATGCTTTTAGGTATGGGGAAGTCCAAGGATACAGAACTGGAACAGCTGTTGTCCTCTTAGGGTGTGTTAAAAAGGCTGATTTCCTCCTTTTTCTATTCTGAAGGCCTTAGAAAGTCTTTTGCCTAAGACTTTATGGCTGTAGATAGACCTATGACTGCTTTCATTTGTGTCCTTTCTTTCCAAAATTGAAGAGATTAAATGTAATTCTTTCTAAAAGGTTCACTTTTTGGGAACA